CCCTGCTTCAGCTCGGTCCTTCATCCTCAAGATGACCTGCCCTCTCTGTGACCCAGCGTGTCAGACATCCCAGACGCGTCTCCCAATATAGCTGTGTCCGACACAGCGCGTGGGCAGCAATGTGGAATCCTTTGCTTTATGTGGTTATCCTGACCTTACAGGATTTCCTTGTCTTGGCTCGAGAGTTCGGTGCCTGCTGGCCCAGCTCCAGAACTGGAGGTGGGTTCAGTTAGGCTCTGCCCGTCTGTTGCTGCTCTGTACAGCTGCTGGTTTCCCCATAGCTCTGATCAAATTTTCAAGTTGCTCATTCTGCTTTTTTCCCTTTCAGCGCACCCACCTTTTCTAGGGCCTAGATTTCTAAAGCTGTGAAACTGGTCCTATATTTAGCCCTATGATTTAGGCTGCTTTTATTATGTGCAATTGTTGTATACTGAGGAAGCACTGGTTTGTTTTTTTATAACACTTCGGCACCATTATCTCTGAAGGGTATTAAAATATGCACTTGGCTACATTTATGATGTTTAATTGAACTTTTATTAGTTTTTTTTTAATGTATCCTCATAAAGCACCATACCACAGTAAGAAATAATGTACAAGTGCTAGATTATGTAAATGAAGCAGAAAACACTTTAGTTTAGTAGGTAGTTCATATAAAATATAAAAATTAGGTGAAAAATGTGTTTTTGAATGCAGTTATAATTAAAATTGTATATTGGAATCTAAGCTACCCTGTACTCTGTAAATAAAAGTGGTAGTGCTGAGTTCCAAGATTTTGTTGCAGTAGATGCTGATAAATTACTAGGCGATGTAAGGCTTTTATTGATTCACTTTGTTTGATTCTCTTCTCTCTCTTTTTCTTTTTTTTTACTGCACGAGTTTACATTTTTGCAATTATCTGCTAAACCACACTAAATTAAATTCAGAGAAGGTGGCAAAAAGAGCAAGGTGGCAGAGATGCACCGTAATGGCACGCAGCTAAATAGGACTGAGAGAGAGAGAGAGGGCCCAGGTACCCACAAGAGTTTCACCTGGGTAATAGTAACACCACTCTTGGGAGCTTGAGAGCCAGAAATTCGGAGAGGCTGGGAGGAGCTTCCATGCCCGCCACCACCGCACCTCATGCTGGGCTCCTGTGCCACGTAACGAGCACTGGCAATGCTGGATTTCCTGCTGGTTTTCGACAGGCTCCCAGAGAAAGCGGTGGCGACGCGAGGGAGAGCAATCCGGGACAGTAGCAGATTGTTTGATAAATCTCATCCCAGATTCAGTCCCAGACGTGCTACCGAGGCTGCCCTTGTCAAAGCCATAAGCGATTTGAATACCTCTGCTGACAAGGAAGCCTGGCCTTGTTTGTACTATCAGATCTAGCCATGGGGGGTTGCTCTGTAAAAGGCTGGGTTCTGTTGCAGTGCCTAGGTGACTGGCTGCTGGTGACTGAGAATGCGCTGAACGGGTTCCAGCAATACTTGATTGCTCTCCCCAATCAACATAGTCGGGTAAATCCTTCTCGAGAGCAGCCAGTTTCACATAATGACACTTGATCCTAGGGAGAATTCAGCAGCAGCCTGACTTAGTTGGCACAGCCGCTCCACGCTCTTTCTCTCGCCTTTCAGAGAGATATATGAGATGTATTAGGGCAGTGTATTAGAACGCCTTTTGGCTTTGTTCAAGAGGACTATATTTCTGAAAGCACCAACATTCAGATATTCAGAAACAAAAGAGTTTCTTGTGCAGTCAACATTATTAATAGAGATAAAACACTTGATTGTACCTGCTAATTTGAAGTCAGACTTCTACTAAATAATTAGAGAAGAACAAGCAATCTGAATCCTGTCGGTAAATCTAGAATGACAGTGTTGACACCAGTAGGTACAACAGTTGTAAATAAATAAGAGAAGAGTCTGACTGAGCTGTCTGAAAACCAGAAATGAGTGAATAGCTTCCCGTGGGACTTCATGACCACTAACTATTTTGGGCTAACAAAGAAATTCCAGTGCTGCTTCTAGCACTCACATCCACTGCAGCTCAATCTAGTGCCATTTTAACCCTGTAGAAATTCTCTCCATTTCCTGGCTGCTGAGGCTGTAGCAAGGCTGTGACCTGTTCTTTCTAACTCTCTTCAGTGAGAAAACAGTGATTTGCTTCTCCTCAAGATGCCTCGCAGCAGTAACATCCAAGAAGGAACATTCAGCTCAGTTTGAATTAAACAAAACTCATTTAACAGAGAAAAAATAATTCTAAGGAAGTGTAACATATCTGAAATTATCATGCAGTGAGATTACCTACAAATTCTTCAGTCTGAGATTATTGCCACTTTCATTAAGAAGGCCAGGTTGCAAAGGAAATTTGGACAAACTTTGGAGCATTTAACAGATCTTGGGATGGGTTTTCCCTCGCTATGTCTTAAGGGTTTGCAAAAAGGGAAATGATTAACAGAATCTTTGCTGAACTTCATAGATTAATAATGTGCACTACATAAAACAGAGATCCTGAATTGTTAGCTTATTCAGGGCTTCAATTTGCTAAGCACAGCATAGGTGGTGTAGAGATCAGAATTTCACTTGACACATTTATTAACCTTGTTAAGCTAGCACTATTTAAGAAATTTAGAGTAAAGTACAGCCAACCCGTTTTTGCTAATGAAGCTTAATTTCTATTAGGCATCTCCTGATTTGTAAATCAATCTTGTGCTTTTCCTATCAAAATATTTAAGCACTTACATTGGCTTCTTGCTTCAGTAATGTGTGTGCCTCTTGCTAGTGCTTCCATTGCTAATCATAGTGCTGTAAAATAAATCCTGCTAGAGTCTCAAAGACATTTTGCAATTAAACAGGTAGACCATAATTACACTGTGTTTTCTCCCTTTGTTTTTACAAGTTCTTATCATGCTTCAGATTTTAATGACATGGGTTTGAGAGGCACATGTAAAGGTCCATCACATTGAGCGTTGCAGAGGGCTGTGTCCGCTCTTTTGCTTTGTGTGGCTGTACTTTTGGGCGCTTCCTGTTAAAACATCTTCCATAGTTCATTGTGTAAGACTAAAAAAGATGGAACTTTACTGGTCTGAAAAAACACAGTTATGTCTGCATATCAAGGCAGCATGGTTTTGATTGGGTAAATATTGGGTAATACACCAAGCGCAAATCCGGATGGTTTGTACTGTTAAGGTAATGTTAGCACCTCAGTGGCACAGGGTGTATGTGCAGCTGCTGTCAGCAAAGCGATGCTGGGGCACAAACCTGTCTTTAGTCTTCTTTCCAAATTACTGACAATTGGCTGGAGAAAGCGGGGAAGAAATTCCAATCCGAGGGACACCATTATTTTGAAGAAAGTTTTATTTCCTAACATCAAGCATTTTAGGTCTTGGGTCATTCAAAACTCCCAGATGCCAAAATTTTTATTTCTATGTAGTGATATTTAGTCTTCTTTTTCTTCAAAATTCTTTCTTGGATACAGTTAAGTCTCCTTGCAATTATGTGCATATGAGTAGAAGTAAATGGACTGAGTAAATGCATTGCCAAACAGCAGTTGTCTCAAAAAAGCATCTATGTCCGTCTTTTTCTGTCAAGAGGCTCCACCATGTTTGCACTGATCTCAGCTATGTACTTGAGAGTGTTTGCATTGCTATCAGTGAGAATTTTTGACTCTTCCATGCTGCTGACTTGTGTTTTTACAACAGTATCTTCTCTAACTAACTCACATGATTTTTTTAAACAAAAAAAATCCCAATTTCAAAAAAAAAAAAAACTAGTTAGCATTGCTAAGTGGCAATCATTATATAACTTACAAAACCAAGCACTTCTTAAAAAAACCCAAAACCTCAAAAATATCTCATTTTATTAGATCAAGGCAGAGTGATGACACATGACTGTCTTGGAAGGCAGGACCTCCTTTGCCAAGGAGAGAGCACAGGATGTTGCAATAACCAAAGTATGAGCTGGGGAGAAAAAGGACAAGTTTTAGCTGAGTGGAGAGGGAAGGTGGCCATTTCCCCAATATATTCAGCTGGAAGAACCTGAAAGGTCAGCAGATGCGAGAGCTGTTATGAGAGGCTTGAATCGAAGATGCAAGTTATGAGCCTGACGTGACATGGCAAATGGCAATGTTCCCCATAGCGATGTGAAGAAAGAAGCAATAGGGAGGGCTTGCAAGAGAAAATAAAGAGATCTGCTGCAGCCATGAGGAGCTCACTGACGTGATGATCAAACATAGCCAAGGGCACCCCAGACAGCTTGTGGTTTCAGCCTGAAGAGAAGAGGACAAGGCAGGATCGGAAATGAACGCGTGAGTTTCAGCACGGGGACAGCAGTCGCGTTTGTAACTGCAGTCAGTAGGTCAAGCAGGTTGGTGAAGAACTGGAGTCTCTGAGATCAACCTGGGGAGAAATCAATGGAGAATTTGGCAAGAGCAATTTCCGAGGAGTGCAGCAGATGGCCTCGTGCAGTGCCAGCAATGAACTCCAGGCAGCCAAAGTAAACAGCATTCTCTGTGCACTTACAGATAAGAGGGAGCGGGGGGATGAGATGGTAACTGTGGATGCAGGCAGATTCAGTGTGTATTTTCCAAGTGGAGAGATTAAACACACACTTGTTTGGTGAGGAGGGAGAAGCCAAGGCAAATGACAACATGCAGAGAGGAGTAGAGAAGAAGGTAAGCAAGCACAAGGGAGAGAAGATCAAATAACTTATTCCACTTAGTGTTGCATACATTTTGCAGCTGAAAACTGCACTAATTTGGGAAACAGTTTATATAATCCATAAAATTCATTTTATTAGCCTTCTTTTTTCCTTTGAGCCACTGAATTCTAAAAAATGAGAACAGCCATAAATGCTATTGTCTCCACAGGCAGTACTTTGGAAATATAAGATGCATGGTTACATGATAAATGCTTTTTCTTCATTAAAATGTTTGCAAATCAGATTTAAAATAGGGGGAAAATAACTTGAAAATATTCTGCACTTCAGAAAATAATAAAATGTCTTCTTATTTTCTCCTGGTAGGCCACACAATGCAGATTACTTTATGCAGGAAGCTAAACGGAAGAAGCATAAAGCAGATGCAATGGTGAGAACATTTTCTTTCCAGTTATGTTGTTCCAAATTATTTTTGTAATGCAGTTTCTTCATCAGTGCAGTATTGCTAGGGTAATTATAAAATCTATTATAAGGATGGCTAGGCTTGTTAAATTAAGAAATGTTTATATAATCAAATGTTCATAGCCCAATAAACTATGACTTAACCAATAATGACTTACTGAGATAAGGGCCTAGATAAATAAAACTTTCTATTTATTCCTGCACTTTAATTAGTAACTAACGCAATGGAGACTGCACTAGGTATTTCCATACCTATCTTCTCCCCAATTTACCTAACTGGTTAGGCCTTGCATTTATATTGCCAAATTTGCTCTTCAGGCTGAGAAACTTGCGCTTCTTTGTAAGAACTTTGCCTCCCAGAACAAAAAAAATCTAGTTTCATGGCAAACCCTTCCTAACATGATCAGAAGCTCATGGGAAATCCAAGTAACCATAGAGGAACAACTTTCACACAAAGGACTGTTGCAGCAAACAGGTTCTTAGCCCTGGCTTTGACCTGTCTAAAACTGTAGCCAGTGAGACCGTCTTGAAAAACGAGAATCTGTGGTTATAAATAGCATTAAAGGGATCCTTCTCTTCCCAAGGAGAAGGGTGCAATGAAGTAACCAGTGCTCCCCTAAGTTCCACTTAGCTGTCTCACGGCTTTCTCCAGGGCTATGTTTGCCCAGCACTATGAATAAGCTAAGTGCAACCTTAAAAACATTAAATTTCTGGGCTGGTAGGTGCAATATGTGGGGTAGAAGCCTGCATTAATATGGCAGCCTGCATTAATACGACTCTCTTACAAGAAAGGATGGCTGCAGGGGCAGCCTTGTGCTGTTAGACAGACATTTTGCTGTCACAGGATTTGGAGGAAAAGAAAGGAAGCTCAGAGCCCCCGTTTCTTCATCTCTCCTTTCTCAGATGCACAGGGTGTAACATGGCCAGGGAAGCAAGAGCAGGCCCTTAATCTGGTCACTAACGCAGTTTTACACTTTACCTGAGTTTATTAGTGCAAATTTCCATCATTTATTCAGTCCCATGATAAAGTGAGTCTTAAATCAGAAAATATGGCAGAGAAGTATAAATAGTGCATTTTAGTGTGTTGCTTTAAACGGAATGGAAAAATCACTTAATATGCACAGGAAATTCTGTCTTAATCCTGAAGAGAAATGTTTTTATAGTGGACTCTCAAAAAAAAGAAATGCAAGCAGATTCCCTGGTTTGCCACAAGTTTCCTCCAAGAAAGTCACTTAGAAACTTGTTTAAATAATCTCATCAGAGCAAGGTGATTGAAATACCCTTCACACTCGGCATTCTTTTTTTTGCATTCCTCCATAGTAGACCCTATACCTTCTGATTTGGAGGTACTGCCTGTCCCTCCGTGACCATATTGGCTTCCTGAGAGAATGTGGAGGCACTTTGAATCACCTTGCTGGGCACAAAACCTCCTAATTTGACACTGCAATATCTAATGTAGGCACTTAGAGTGAGCAGTCCGAAATGATGACTGTAAGTCTCCCTGCTCCTCAGTCCCCCATCTGTGAAATTGGGATAATAGCACCTCCACTCCTCACAAGAGCGTCAGGGAGAAAAATATAATAAAAAGTTTGTGAAGTTCTAAGGTATGATCGCAATGGGAGCCATATAAGAACCTAAAATAGATTGAAGCCAGTGTGCCATTCCAAAGTTACTATTTAATATCTTTATCCCTTAGAAGAGAATAAGGTCCATTAACCTTTCACTGTGTGCATCAGATTTCAAGCAAATGCATCCAGTCCATTAATGGGCTTTATGTGCCACAGGAGTTCAGGCTGAAGAAAAGAGAAATAAGGACAGAAGGATAGAGCTGTGATTCATCTATAGCCATAGCAAAAGTGGAACTCTGAGAGCAGATAAGTGGCATGGAAGTGTACACACATGTGCACTATGTGTACATAGACATATGTACCATCATTAGGACAAATATGTGTATCTGCATAAATACATAAATACACACAAAGATGTACTGAAAATAAGAAATGGGGCAAGGAAGAAGGATTTGCAGAAGGAAAAGCTGAGGGAGAAGAAAAATCTCTGAGAGAGAAGGAGTCTTGAGAAAGCAAAATCCTGACAGGAGAGGAGAGTGTGGTCAAGCAGTGCTGATGATGGAAGAGAGAAAAAAGAAACAAGAACCGAGATGAGCCTTTGAATAATGGGGAGTTAATAGTCAAAGCATTTAACTCCAGTTCTCTTAGTTCAAGATTATTACCTTTCTTCATTTAGTGATGAAAACCTGCAAACAGCTGTGAAATTTTTTTAATGGTGAGGATGCTTGAAAGCTGGAACAGGAGGCCTGAGCACTTTGTGGAGTCTCCAGCACTGGAAGTGTTTAAGAATAGGCTTGACAAACATCTGTCAGGAATATACTAGTAGAGTTGATCCCCCTTTGGGCACAAAAGTATGGACCAATTAACATCCTGCAGTCTTTATTAGCTCTACTTTCTGTGTGTTATGAATTTCACTGATTTTCGGGTTTTGTTGGGTGTTAGCTTTCTCTGGCAAAATTTGCGAACCTGAAGCAGTACCTACTTGCATCAGTTTTACAAATCATGTTAAGAAAACGCCACCACATATAACCGTATCTTAATTACACTATGTCCTTCCAGGTGGAAAAGTTTGGAAAGGCACTGAATTATGCAGAAGCAGCACTGTCATTTATTGAATGTGGAAATGCAATGGAACAAGGCCCAATGGAATCTAAATCCCCTTATACAATGTATTCAGAAACAGTTGAACTCATCAGGTAAGAAGGAAGGAGATGACAGCAGGGGTTATCCTGTTCATTCAAATACTCTCATCTAAATTATGATACAATTCCCTAGACACAGTAAAAAGGGAGAAGCAAAGTCCTCCCAGGTGCTAGGTCAGTAATATGTACCATATATGTATTATTTGTGATCACTATGGAAATTAAATTGGGAAACCATATAGAAAAAAATAGATAAAGCTTTTCTTACTACTTAAATTGCAAATTACTTTGAGAGTTCATGATAAAAGTCCTGCTCTCCTGAAAAGGTGGGGAAATGTCTCCATAACAACGAAACATTCACATGGTGTGGTGGTTTCCAAAATGTTACAACTTATGTTTGTGACTGCAGTTTAATGGTTTCCTGAAGGAAGATGTGAACAGTGGTAGAAAAATGGACACTCGATATCCATTAGGTGCCTGTGCTGCTGTTGTAGTCACTGGACTTTGATGCGCAATCCATCTCACACCACAGTGGGCCCCTAGGTTTAGTCAGCTGCATGGCTCTCCAGATGATACCGTCTAGAATTCAATCCCACCCTCAGACCCTCTGAGCTTCTGACTCATAAGTCCTTTTCTCTGTATAGCTGGTACTGAGAGCTGCCGTGATTGACAGTGTCATTAGAAAAAGCCCAAAATCATCCCAGGGTCTGCGTGACTGTCTCCCCAGGAGAGTCCATCAACCCATGCTAGTGGAGAAGGCTGTATTGCCAGTGACCATGTTTAAGTCATAGGACAGTCTGGGCTAGGACAATCAGCGCTAAGGTCACAGGAAGTACCACACTGTATTTTTTAATCATATTCATCGTAAAGCAAAACTCCTAAAGCAATTGATTTCTTTTGGACTTAGTGTTGATGTGCTGATTTTCTCGCATATATAAACAACGCCATTGGCATTTTATTCCACTTCGGGCTGTCTTCTAATGCATTTCAGTGAATAGAGGCCAGCTTGTTAACTGGAAGGTTGTTAAACAGAAAGAAGTATTTACTCTGTAAGAGAATAGTGCATCACATTTCTGCAGTTCTTCCCTTCTTTTCTCTTACACCAATCACAGGCAGAGCTTTTTTTTTTTTTTTTGCCTTGATATTTTTCATGATTTTAAATGTGTGGTCCTACCTCTGGAAATGAATTTTGCTTGCGGACTCATTGCTTTAAACAATGTGTGCAGCTTTGTTTGTGTTGTAGTGTGAACTGTGGTTGATCTCGCTCGCTGCACCTCCAAAAACAAACAGTTTACTGGGCATGCCTGCTGAAACAAAATATTCACACTGAATCTTTGTGCAGGTACCAGAATTAAAGTTTGAAAACAAAGATAAGGTAAAATACAATTCAGCTAATTATGGAGACAGGTATTTTCCTGGAAGCGAGCCCAGAAGTCTTGCATGTTGTCCTAACCTTGTCCATTGTTCAGGTATTCAGCCAGAAGCTGTGATTTCCAGAAACTAATTTGTGATTGCACAGCACATACATTCTTGAACCAGCAGTGCTACCTCTGTGCATGTTTAATATTTATAGAATTTGAATGTAATGTCATATGAACAAAAATAGCTCTGAGCCACATGTTCCCGCTCTGCTGTGCTCTGCTTGGGGGAGCAGATCTGAGCAGACACGTTCAGCATGAGCAGGGCGAGGGCAGCACCAGCTTCGAGGCACGCTGCTGTCTGCCTTCAAACCCCGCGCAAACGCCTCTGCGTGAACTCGGTGTGACTGGGTCTCCGCAGCAGGGGAGGTTGTTTTGGCAGGGCAGCACCGTGAGCCAGGGAGCGGCACCTTGTCAGCCAGGCTCTCCTCTGTGCTGATGGACGTGCGGGAGAGTTCCTGCTGTTCAGAAAGCACAAGGAGGCATCGCTGCTGACAAAATGGCTCCGAAACACAACCTGGAAAACACAGCAGATGTGTCGCAGCCTGAGAAAATGAGTATAATGGGGCAGATCTTCGAATGACATCAGGCAGCATTGCTCAATCAGGAGCTGACCAGTAACATAATGCTGCCTCAGTCAACTCGTACTGACCTTTTTTTCTTTTGCTTAAGGTATGCAGTGAGGCTAAAAACCCACTCAGGCCCCAACGCCACAGCAGAAGACAAACAGCTGGCAGCATTATGGTTAGTAGACCAAAATTTCCTCAAAAGGCTCCTTTTCTGCAGCAAGCCCGTTCCTTAAAATCAGACGTTGGGGGCAGTCAGGTAGGACTATGTTGTCTGCTGACATAAAGCGAATCCTTTCTGCACGAGGAAGGTCTGGCCCCTGTGTAACTGCGCCAGATCTGCATCTATCTCGGTAAATAGGCAATTCATACCTATTGACCGTGGCAGGTCAGCCATGGTACGTCAGCACAATTAATTCTGAAATGTCCGATGGTTTGTTGTTTTCATGAGCGATGTCCTTTTGTACCAATAGCTCAATAAGTTTTTTTTTTTTGATGACATTTTAGGCTCAGTAATCATAAATTATATTTACATTATGTGAAGGGAGATATGGCGAAGGTGATAATTAAGTTTCTTGCATTACCTTCTAAATTGAGATTTCTAGCTATATGCATGAAGCTTAGATACTATAAGGTGGCTAGTGATTGCTAATAAAATACTAAAATGTTATTAAAATCAAATTTTAATTTAATATCTGTGCAGTTAATACATAAAGTACCTATTACATGGTTACTGATTCTCAGTAAGTGGACATTTACAATCAGCAAGTGTGTTTTTAACATCTATTAACCATCTGTTAAAAGTCCAAATTATATGCATCTTTAGGCTCCATAAATAAGGAGCCTTAATTAATCATTTGTGTAAAAAAGAACAAAACACTCGCTGATCGATTTTTTATTTTCAATGCCTTTTCCTTGTCACTGTTCTGCTGTGCAATGAGGAGCACAGAACAGATTAATGGCAATTGCTTTAAAAGCACTGAGGTGGGAAAACAACTAAAAATTGGTTAAGAGGAAATAAACCCGTCTTAGGAAGTGTTCTCTAGGAGTGCCACGGTGCCGCAGCGCAGGGAACTGAATCCCAGCACATGAAGCCAGCGCATCTGTTTGAGGAGGAAGGTCAGCGCGAGGGGAAGCTGCCGGGGCCTTCTCCCGGCGATGAAGAGCGGCCCTAACGCCAGGTCTGCCATCCAGCAGACGAGCTGGCACCATTTGCACTCGTGCGGTACCTGTGAAGGTGACAGAGTGACAGTGATGGTGGCTCTGAGCCCACCGCGTCCCCCGGCTGCTCCCCGCGCCGGCCGGGCACCGCGCGCGCCGCGCTCGGCACTCCTGAGGAGACACTGTCCTCCAGTGGCCCAAGGCAGAAATTCACATTTTCGATTTAGGAAAAGAGGCACTGGCTGCGAATTATAGAAACCCTGGCTGGGATTTTGAGGATTTTCAACTATTTTTTGTGAGTTTTTGAGTGTTTTGGTGAGTTTTTGGCAACCCCATAGGGCACTTTATGATTCCTGAACCATGAGAAGGGCACTAGTCTGCACTTCCCAAATTCAAGCTTCCTTCTGTTGTTTCAGACTGAGTTGCAAGATTAAAATAAGGCCTCTGCTGCCAAGTGAAAAGCAGAACATACCAGATTTGTTTCAAGAGCTATGTCCTGTGGTGCAGTCTCATCCTATCTGATCAAAAATCTTACTGGGAAGAGGCTGCGCTGATTCTTGGGCTTGACCAGTGCACCTAAATCCAATAGCAAAGACAAGAGTTGGTGTGTCCTGAATGCTGATTATCAGTTACCATTAGGTATAAGCACAGTTATACATAATACATTTGCTACAATTGCTAATTTATTTTAATAGCATTATAAAGATATCTGGCACTCTGCAGACTAACAAGGATCAAGAAGGCAGACAGTTCGACTACCATATGATGACTTTGTCAGCTCTCTGATGATTTTCTGTATGAGAAAAAATAGGCAGATGGCCTGGGAATGCTCTCTCTCAACCCCTACAGAGTTTCCACTCTGGTTTCTCAACAAAAACAAGCTTGAACAGTGAAATATGGGTAGCTCTGAGGTCTACCCGTTTCCTGGCCATCTCCAGCCCCCGGAAGAGAAAACTGGCTGCACACAGAATACACCCAGGATGACTTTAGTTTATTATCACATCAGCTCCAGCCTACAGTAATGTAGTTCCAGGCTAAGGTGCCAAAAAACTTGCCTTTGCGTGTACAACAAAACCCAGAAAACTACATATATTGGATTCCAGGCCTGTCAATGATCTCTTTGCAGGTCAAGACCCTGATTTGACCCTGTCAAACCAAAGGGACCCAACTCTGTGAATCCTACTTAGTATAGAGGCTATTCAGTACCTCATTAGTGGCACCCATCACAATGTGGGCTGTCCTGGCTGCAGTACCTAGCCTTGTTCATGAACCCATGGCCAAGTGTGAAAATGGAGTGGTGATCAGAATAGTAAGGAAGGTGCTGTTAGTTTTCCATTGTCTGTTTGTTTAAGAATTAAAGATAATCAATTAGGATTGTTTAATTATTATGCAGGAGACACACTTTACCTTCCGTTCTCCTCTCATTCTAGTTACCGCTGCCTGGCTCTTCTGTACTGGAGGATGTTCCGGCTCAAGAGGGACCATGCCGTCAAGTATTCGAAAGCTCTCATTGAGTATTTCAAGGTACTTACTCTATGGCGTGTTTTATTTAAATCAGTGCATCATTATAGAAAACACAGCATCTTTAAAAGCGGGTGCCATGGTGGGCTCAATTCTTCCCTGGTCTAGTCAGGAGTTTTACTGTAGTCTCCCATGGCAGCACCTGGTTTCTGCTCAGTCATGCCGTATTCACAAGGCTGCCTGTCTACAATATACAAACTGTGTTACTCCATAAGAGAGTGGGGGCTTTTGTACCACAAAGTAGGCATATTCGGATTATCCTTAGTCAATCGTCTGGCACTATCCAGCTTTGTTCTGAATAGATTTTGCAGATTTTGCTGGAGGAATCCCTTTTAGGACTGCACTTCACACTATATTCCTGTGAGTTGAAGATTTGAATACAGATCGGTTGGTAGCTGCAGGGATTCCATTTAGCAGCATCGATAGGTAAGATAGTGCAGTAGGACATGCTCCTTCCTAAGGAACTTGCAGACAGCCCACGCGGGCTTCAGTTACACAAAAGCATCCAAGGACAACCTTGCCTCCTATCCTGTGCTTGACATGACACTGCTGGCTCCTCCTTCCCATTTCTCTTTTCCTGCCTCTGCTTCCGTGCTCCATTCTCTGCCAGGTCTGGAAAATATCTCAAGAACAAAACCTTTCTGTTGGAGAACCCACCAACCAGTGAGTGCATCCAGCATTTGACCAACTAACAGAAAACCAGCCTCCATCTTCCTAGCTTAAAAAATCCATACATGAGAGTGCTCTAAGACAAACTGTTTTGGTCGACCCTGAATAGCCATTTGTCTTTGGATACAAGGCCCATCTTCTTCTTTTACTTATTTTTTTTCCTTTTTGCAAGGGGACGTACCTTGAAATGAAAAACATCCATCCTTTGACATTTTGTTAATAAAAAATTTCAAATACAAGCACAAATGCTCATGACCAGATTTTAAATACATGAAGGAAATTGACAGATCTGTTATTGTCAAACTGAAACTGAAGTCACTGTAATTGCTTCTAAAAATTTAGCAATATATAATTCAACATGCTACCTTTCTCTAACAATGACTTGATTTCAGGGGAAAGAAATATGTGCCTATTATAGCGCTTTATTTTTCTTTACCTGTTCAGAGAATACCTGCATTAAGAACAGGATGGTCAGGCTCTCGACCACGTAAAATGTCTTCTACTAGCAGACGGAAACTGTTTCATGGCAAACATAAAATGGACTTGCACTCTGTTACAGCCAAGATGAGCTTGTTTTTTGCAGAGCTCCTGCTGATACAATGATAGCATAGATTCACATTAGAAAGCATTCTCACCTTTGAAAGTAAAAATGGAAAGAAAAAAATCCATTTGCTATAATTTTCAGTGGAAAACTAGCCAATTCTCCACTCATTCCATATTTGGTACCTAAAAGCTTTCAAAACCAAGTGACGTGAGATGCTGCCTGCATTAAGAACTTCCACGTAAACTATCCATCAAAGACAGATTTTAAACCTTGTCGCACACACTTTCAGTGAAAATTAGATATGCTTTTCTTTTAATAAATAAAAAAATATTTAAATTGTCTTTTAAGCATTTTATTTCTATTATAAAAAAATAGCGCAGCAGAGAATTAACAGGAAACCATGGACATTCAGGAGCCAGAAACATTCGAGAGTATAAAGAAGTCAGGAGAATAGGTGGGCAGCAGGAGTCAGAGTGGGATAAGAGATGTCTCCTTACATCATGATACTCTCTTCAGTATCCCCCTTTTCTTTTGGAGAGGAGGCTGGAATAATATCTCTAAAAGGATGAGAAAAAGAAAAGATGTGTGAAGTTGCATCCAGTAAGGCTGGCTACATTTACAGAGAAAATATCCTTGACTTCACTTTTCATATTTTCCTTCCTCTGACTTCATATGTAAATTATATGCAGCCAATTCCTGCCAACTGTAAAGATCAAGGTCAACAGTTCTGAGATAGCAAAATTAATTAATTAATTAAGCCAGTGGAGCAAATGGCAAGGATTCACTAGTTGGTGCTGTTTATGATAGTAAACAAGGAAGAAAAGAAAAGCCTCTGAAGAAGGAACACTGAGGGACACCCAATAGTTTATTACTCCTCGCAGTCACGTGGGATGTAGAAGGCCCAGAGTCAAAATGCAGGAGGACTGTCAGGGCACTAATGTGCTAAAACACCATCACCAGTTTCAGTGTGTGCATGTGAGGAGAGATGTGGGGACACAAGAGGGAGTTCAGAGGCCACGGCAAACCTGAGAAAACAAGCTCTATGAAGAGCAGCTCCAAGGATTTGTCTGGCTTATTGGAGAAAAGGTAATCCTCAGAGGACATGATCACTGTGTATATGGAAACAGAGTCGATAATGCCAGGTGACATTTAGTTTTGCTGGCACTAGACCAACAAAATCCACAAGCTAGCATTGAAGTTAAGAAAATTCAAACTTGAAGTTCTGAAACAGAGTGTTTCCTATCTCTGAGGTCTCTTAAACATGAGAACAGGATACAAGAGAACAAGGAGGATAAGCAGCATCATAGGATTTCTATATGAGTAGCTATACTTTATTTTTTAAGTACAATAATTGCACTTCTGGTAAAAATTCCCCGCATCATTGCTAGAAAAGGGAAACTGCTGAGGGAGTGCCCTGGGGGATTGCTTCCAGCCTGGAAATCCGTGAATCGCTCCGTCTCCTGTTTGTCATTTTTCCTTCACGAGCCACGGGAGAACAGGCGCGTTTGTGTCGCTGTTAGCGCTTGTAGCGTGTACAGCTTGTAGCACTTGCAACTGTGCATTTACCCAACACGTGTAAACAACCCTGCAGCTGCAGGACTCAACACTTGTCTCCTGTGCTCGCCAAGCAGGGAGGGCTGCTCCCCAGCGCACAGTTATCTACATGAGCTGCTGTGGGGCAGCATTTAAGGAGGCCTCTTTCCCCTGGAGAATCAGGGATCGGCCTTTGCTGAACATGGGGATGGACCAGAAAAATCTTGTTTCTTAGATTTCTGCTTCTTGCGTGTTTCTTTTCTTTGGGCCCTGGATTAAATCGGACACTGCATTTGGGAGTAGGAAGGGGTTCTTCTGAAGGCCAAATGGGCAGGAAAAAATAAATTCTTAACTCCTGTAGATGAATGGTTCAGGTCATTTTTGCTTCTCTATTCCCTACTATTGCCACTTTCATTTCCGCTGCTGTAAATATGCTGCACAAGGCAGTCTCTTTACAAGGAATGATGTTCTTCAGTCTAAGTAAAATGTACCAGCGAGAACTTGATGACTACATTTGCATAAAAAAAAGTTGTAGATGATCTGATGGCCGCTTCTAGCCATAAACCCTTAAACATTCTGCAAGAGCAGTTTCTGGCCCTACAATTTCTGTCTTGCTCAGACCGAGAGGACCAAGGAGTTTCTCAGATGCTAGGAGAATTACTAGCTAGAGGGTGGGAAGA